TTTCAGTAATTTCAGAATACGCTAATTTGATAGGGTCACACGCCTAACTATGATCAAGCAGACATATTGAGAAGAAAAAGAAATTACAACAAAAGATTGTTTCTAGAAATGTGTTTAACTAAAACTACACAAAACACCTTAAACAAGAAAAGACATAGAAAATCTTAGAGCTATATATAGTAATCTTCTGTTAAAGAAAAGAAAAACAACGATATAAAAGTTCTTTAAAAGTTACACAGATTAAAGGGATTATTCCAAGTTCAAATAAGATCAAATTTATTTTTTATTTTTGTTTGGTTTTTTTCCTTCTTAATTAGCAAATAAAATTTGCAATGGTTTGAAAAACGAAAGAACAAAGAGCAAACAAACTGGATCTGGAAAACTGAAGATTCGGGAAAATAAACAGAAGTTCGAAGAAGAAGTCGCAAATGAGATAATGACGTTAGAACTAAACTCCATAGGGGGCAAATGGAATAGTATAAAAAGAGTAGTACTGACAGCGTCAGCGTCCACCCTGGGAAACAAGAAAAAGGCGAAAATAGGTGTATGGCTCAGAAAGACTGAGATGAGTAGAAGCTCCAACCTTAAATGAATTTCTTGAAGCTATTAAGGCACAAAAAACAATAAAGTGGCGGGAGTTGACGAAATACCAGCAGAATTTTATAAGGTAGGTGGCGACCTCGTAGCAAGTCACATCCACGCGCTCATCAAAGACATATGGCAAGAAAAGAAAATATCCGACGACCAGAAGAAAAGTATAGTATGGCCGATCTATAAAAAGGAGACAAACTCCAGTGCAAAAACTACCACGGATTTCTCTGCTACCTACAGCATGTAAAGTCCCCACGAAAATTATAAACCAGTGGCTTCAACTACTACAACTTTCGATGGGGAAGATCGACACTGAATAAAATATTTACAGTCAAACAGATCTTGAGTATATTATGGAAACAATGCTCATAACGTGTTTGTAGACTTCAAACAGTCAAAAAGCATACAAATACCACATAAGCTAATTAGACTCATTAAAGCCACAATAAATGAAACTCAGGCATATGTACGAATACAAAACCACCGGACAGACTTTTTGAAAATTTCATAGGGACTAAAGCAGAGAGATGGGCTGGCTCCAACTTTGTTTAACCTGGCACTGGAGTATGCGGTCATACCGCAAACTTTACGAGGAAACCTACTGACCAACTGAACGGTTTAACTGGTCGCTTATGCCGATTATATTAATATTATGAGTAAAACATCAACAAGAGAACAGGAAACATACGCAGAGTTAAAAACGCAAACAAAAAGGCTAAGTCTGGAAATTAACACAGAAAAAAAACAACAATAATGATGCAGAACAGAAGAGAAGAAATATATAGTCTCACAAAATAATATACATAAAGATGACATTAAAACGGTTGAAAATTTACATAGAATGGGAGATGATAGAATGGGAGAGGATAGGCTACCAAAAAGAGTACTGGATGCTAGAATGCAGGAAAAGAGACCGATTGGAAAGCCAAGAAACGCTGGGAAGACACAGTAAATAGTATCGCACAAGCCCTTATAGGAGTTCGTGTATGGAAAAGATCAGCCACAGACAAGACAAGCAAGAGTGGAGGCAAAAAATAAAAGCGACCAAGGCTCAATTTGGACTGTAGTGCCGTAGAAGAAGAAGAAGAAGAAAGTAGGTAAGGACCTTTATTTTTATTATCGACAATCAGAAAATTTGATTTCAATTCAAAACTACGGTTTATATCATCCATACAAACCGCAGTTTGTACATACAAAAAAGGAAAAGATTATAATAAACTATCTGAATTATGTATCAATAATAGAGGTGTCAATAATAATTAAACTTAAACATACTTTACGCTTACTCGGTTTATTCTATAATAATAATCTAAATAACAACACTTAAATTCACAAATCGTACTTTATTTAAAATAACATTAAACTTTTTGTACAACTTGAATTCCCTGTCGGCATTATCTGCATTGGCACTTTCTGTTTTCATCGCACCATCCACCTTTTGAATGTTTCGTCCAACAATGAGCAGCGCAGGCAGCATCGTTCAGCTGAAATCCTTCATAGTTAAATATTCCAAGGAGTTCGCAGGTGAATCTTTTAACTCGATGATGATCTGGAATACAAAGGAGAATTTACAATCAGTATTAAAAAAAAAAAAAGAATTATAAATAAAAACTGGTCACAGAAAGATATTTTAACTCGTGTATTGGGCGAATTTGCTGACTTTATCAGAGTAATCTAGTATGGTAAATTAATATCTAAAAAAACTTGAAAGCAATAAAAGTATTCCTACTAAAGAAGGGCTTCCTACTAAGTTGCTCTGATGAATCCTGAAAGGATGAAATACGTATAAGCGAATTGTAGAGGCACTGTACGTGATATCAAATCTTTTTTACAAATGAAGAAGTTCTAAATAGATTAAATATAGAAAAATACCTATTGAGAATGATTTAAATAAAAAAACTCAGTTATTTGGGTACTTCGCTACGTAAAGAAAAGTACTAAATTCCTAAACTGATCATTAAAGGTAACATGGAAGCGAAACGAGGCATTAAAAGAAAAAATTTTCTCAGCTACGTAATATTAGAAACTCAATAGGACTAGTCTTTACATAACTTTGCGTACAGTACATCTAAAGACAGAGAAATGTTTCCACCATAACCTCAGACCTTCAACGATCGAAACGACACATGAAGAAGAATTCATCCATCTTAGATCATCTATCTTAAAATTTTCCAGAAGAATCTTATAAACAAGTTATTTACAAATATTTAATAGTAACAATGAACAAAAACGTAGTAAAAAGGACTTTTGATTCTGAACGTAATGAGAGCATTGAAGAGCATGCAAAATGTATAATTATTAGGAGAAAATTGTAAGCTTCTTACCTTCTTCTTCTTCGACATCATCAAGCGGTGCTGATAAATTGTTGACAAACAAACTAAAAAGTACAACACTTATAATAAAGTATTTCATATTGTTTTGATTATTCTACTAGTGATACAAATATACTTAAATTATTGTTACATCAGTTTTTATATCATAGTTAATTAGTTTTCCCTATAAACTGTTAATCGGTTTTTGTTTGTGTTATAAATCAGCTGGAAAGCATTAATGGTTAAAAAGTACGTATTATGTTAATTATGCAAAAACTTTGGTGAAAATTAAATATTACTTAATATTGGATTTAGTAAACCAGCTAATGAGAACCAATTATTTGATATTTTACATAGATAAAGAATGTAAAGGATGGAAATCCATCGTAAATTATGGAAATACCTGTAATTTTAAGAAAAAAATGCTATCTTAGTTCTTATTGGCCATAGAAGGTTCTTTTTTTAAGATTATGTTTTTCGCCATATTTTCAGTGATAATACTTGAGGGGTGTAAATTCAAAGGCGGCAGTCTCCACTTTGTGTTGTTTTGAGTTAGCCACGCCACCTGTTGCGTTTTTTATTACAGGTTAGATAAAATTATTTGTAAGAACCAAAAGCGGTCTTCTAACTTTATACAAATCGCAGTGAAAAGTTCATTTTGGGGTCAAAAGCATCAATATCCATAGCTATGTGCGTACCAAAAACGGCAATCTCCGTTGTGGGCAATAAGAACCACGTAGAGCACGCATATGTGATCAACACATGGTTAGATTTGCCGTTACATCGTGCTATTATAATCATTTGTTTTAGTTTTGGGAGTCGTTACGCGCTTCTATGCTTTTCCTGAACGATATTTGTGACTAATAAATTATATTTTTTATATACCAATGAAAATACCTATATATTTTTATATACAAAAAAAGTATTAATTTTTTATCACGGAAGTTAATGCGTCTTCTGTCACACCACAGAATAATAAACAATCAGAATGCCCACTCTCCATGGAAAATTAAGTACGCGCGCATCTCCTTCGCGCAGTCGTTCCGCCATGTTTTAGAGGGAACCAGTGTTGTTTATGTGGTGTGCATAGAAAAATTAACCCGGTTTTATTGACTTATGTCTGTGTTATGCAATGAAGCAATAGGTAAAATGTTTCATCCGTAATTTTTTCTCCAAGAAGAAACTTCTCGTTTGCTAAGTAGCTTTTTTCAACGTGCTAGGGATAACAAAACACAGGCTTTCCTATGTGCTAAAACGATTTAATAAAACAGGCCAAGTACCGATTGAACGCGTAAACCATAACCACAAAATAATAAACAATAGATTAAACGAATAGATAAAAAATTGTTGATTTATTTCAAATGTACTAAATTATTAATATCTAAAAATTTAAATTAGAGTTCTGTCGTAGCTTGTCACCAATTTTCAATTCGAGTCTATGTTTCCGTTTAAAATATGGCGTGCTTCAAAGGCGTCATGTTAGAGTGGGCATTCTGATTGTTATTTATTCTGTGCCACAGAATAAATAACAATTGTTGATTATTCTGTGTCTGTGCCATAGCCACAGAATAAATATCAATCAGAATGCCCACTCTGACATGCCGTCTTTGAAGTTTGTCAGCACGCGATCACTATATTTTAAACGAAAACATAGATTCGAATTGAGAAATTTGTGACAAGCTACGACAGAACTGTAATTTAAATTTTTAGAGATTAATAATTAAGTACATTGGAAATAATTTAATCTATTCTTTAACTAAAAGTACGAAAAAAATAGTGCATATTATGTCTATAGTTGCTGTAAATAAATTAAACAGGGTTCATTTTTCTATGCACACCAGATAAAATGTCACTAAGCAGCACTGGCTGTGGCACTGATTCCGTTTAAAAACATGACTGATTCCGTCTGCGTGAAAGAGATGCGCGTACTTATTTTTTAGGCAGAGTGGGCATTCTGATTGTTTATTATTATGTTTCATCAATTTGTAAATAAAAACTTTTCCTCACTAGGCCGTTTTTTCATGAACTCTTTTTCAGCTCAAACAGTTAAGATTTATGCTGTCATCGGTCAACTGTCACCCTTCAATGAGATGTCTGTTATATTTAAATTGTTTTTATTTGGTTTATGATTTTTTACAATATAATATACAATTATTTAATATATAATATAATATACACATTGAAAAATATGAACTTTACTTGTGTTATTTGTAGTGAACTGTTCATTACGGGAGCTGACATTTATTTTACACAATGTGGACATGTGTTTCATTTTCCCTGTTTAATGAACTGGATAGAAAGGTAAATATTTCTCCAAAATTGCCAAATAAAGTAAGTAATACCGCAATAGAATTAGTTGTACGAAGTCTCAGAAATAGCTTATAGCAATAGTCATATTTGTCTTCTTTAAATCGCCATGGTGTTGAGTTTTGGAGTGAGAATTATGTCTTCTATTTTTTTTATATATCTATATTCATTGGCTTGAGATATGTTCTTATATGCGGACATTTTATTTTTGAATTATTTGGACAAGGTGGTTCATTTGATATTGTATGAGTAAGTATATTTCTGATACCATTGTCTTTTTCTACCTTTAGGTCTATTCCCTTATTTTAAACTACCTAGATTTAAAAAACTGGATTTTCATACAAACAAGTCTTCCTGAAACATTATATTAAACCGTTATCAAACACAATTTAATGAATTTTCCTTGGGACAAGACATGGATATTGTTCAGCTAATGTAGATGACAAGATGATAATGTGAGGAGTATCCCAAAATTCCATTTAATTACAGTAAATGTGTAATTGAAGAATATTGTAAAACCAAGTTGAAAAATGTGGTATTGAGAAAATATTATTTTTGTTGTTTCATTTCTATACCTAGTCAGTATTTAGATAACTTGAACTTATAATTTATTCTTTTTTTTTTTTTCTAATAAAACTAAAAGTTCATAATTAGCCAAAAATAAACAAAACAATTTTTTTAAACTCTATTTTAAATAAAAATATTTTATAGTATTCTTTTGGAACTTAAATTTTTCTTTTTTTCTAATATTTTTTTCTGAATCTGCAAAAATGTGATCAGAAAGTATAAATCTATGTCCTCTTATTGGAAAATTATGGTAAACATATAGCAAAGAAGCATGAAAACAGTGGCTAAATCATAACAAACTTAATTTGAACCTTTGATTTTCAATCCAGGTAAAACCCAATAATATGTTGTTTTTATTTTTGTGCGCAACCACACTTGCTACAGATAATACCTGCACATCAAAAATGCCAAATTTTTGCAGTAGTTAATTTTGTTGCATATCAAAATTTACAAATCTTTCAGGTTAAATTTTTCTTAAAACTTCATCAAATGTTTTCACTTGTGACTTATGCAATTATTCTGTGTACATTAGTGTGATAATTTCAACATTGATCAAAAAAAAAAGAAACATCAGTTCAGGGATTACCAAATCACAAGTTATTTTTTTTTGCTAAATGATATCCTTTTACAACCTTCTACAAATTTTTGACAGATAACTCTGATGATTAATAACAACAAACACGTTTATTTCTGCCGTAAGGACTACTTTTACAGTTCAGACTTTTTATGTGACTATTATGATACACTTACACCCGTATGCTAATACTCAGAGAGAGTGAATGAATAGTGAGTATGTTGCTCTCACACTTTGAAGTCACAGTGAAGCAACTTGAACATAGGTACAATATATTGGATTATGCCTTTAATTCACCTAAAATAAGATAAAGAAAGTATTTAAATTATTAGTGCTTTATTTATTATTTAGTAATTAATTTAATGTAATGCTTATTTAAATTGTATCAAGCACATATTGAAGAAAATGTGATAATTTTTGCAAACATTTAGTTTGTAATCTGTTGTCAATAAAAAAAAGAAAACAAATGTGTCCCATTATGAATTAAAATCTAAAACAATATCAATGGTCTTAAAATTTTACAGAGTTGGTTTAAAAAATAGGGAATTTACAATGAACAATGCATTATATTTGCCCTTTACTCTAATGAATACTTGCCCTAAACTTATTACTACTTACTTCTTTCACATCTAACAATTCGTAATTTTTTACATTTTTTTCTAACTTTCTCTTGCAGTTTTGGAAACTAATTTTTTTATTAAGATTTCGTAATAATGTACATGTTCTTCTTAAACAATAGACTACTTCATACAGTATAGCATTATTGTTTTCTAATTTCACCATGGTACTAGCAGTTAAAGTTTTAAATACATTGATGGCATGTAATAATGAAGACCCATGCATTGAATGAAATTCCTGATCCAATATTTGTACAGCAAAAAGTAAGTTGTCATTAGGATTTATTCAACCACCTCTTGAAATTAATTGTATCCAATCTGGCATGTCAGTAATGCTTATGTTATTGTCTTTACATCCTAAATTATACTTATGTTGGAATTGATAGGCAATGTATCCAGCTATATATTATTTCCAAGCTTCTTGGTAATTTTTTTCTTTGCATTCAAAATCTCAGTTAACTTTCTTCTTTCTTTTCTTCTACATTATTAGCATGTTAGAATGTCTTTTAACTACATACTGTTTTTCTTAACTTTATGTGTATTTACCAGTTTCTAAAATTTTTAGATCCAAAAGTTGCCCGCAATGCAGAGGTAGAGTAACTGAAAAAACAATTCACAAAGTTTTCTTTAACATTGGTAATACAGATATTACTGAGGATTCTGCTACACTGTCATTCAAATTAGAAAATGCTAATTTTGCTTTGACCTTAAAAGAAAGGGAAATAAAAAACTTACAGGAAGCCAAAAAGAAAATTAAAGAACGTAACAAATTATTAAGTGAAGAAGTAATTAAGTTAGAACAAAATGAAAGAAATATGGAGTCTACTTTGCTTGCTTTTAAATCACAAATATCTTTCTTTAAGACAAAATCAAAAGAAACGGACAAACTATCAGATGAAATTGTAAGATTAAAAAACAAAATAAAAAATATGGAACATTTGGAAACTGTTATAGAAGGAACCAGGGAACAAGTCTATGATATCTTGAGGGATGAACGAGATGCTGAGGCATTAGCAATACTGGCAGCATCACTTAAAAAGTAAGTAGCTATTGTAATATATGAGGCAATATAAGTTGGTAACATTATTTGAAGATCACTCCTCCTCCTCTAACATTTATCCTTCATAAGAATGTGGTGACGTTGTGGTATTTGACGAATGGTTGCTATCCATTCTTCTCTCTCCTGGGCGCGGTGTGCTGCCTCAGACAGAGAGTAATCGGTAGCGAACTTTATTTGGTCTGATTATCGGAGTGGCGATCTTCTTTGAGTTCTTTTACCATCTAACTTGCCTTCAACCACCAACCTCTCCATGACTTCCATTCGTCTGATAATGTGTCCAAAGTACCTCTATACCGAAGATCACTATTTTATATTAAAATATCTGTGGCTAAAGGACTAGTTTCCAAACCATCTCTCCAAACACATATTAAACTTTTTTGTATATCCAAAAATTTGACATACCAAATTTTATAAACAATTAATTTTGTTTAAGAGCACTTCTTGATTCCGAGAAAAAAGCAAGAGACTTTGAGTTTAATCTAAAGAGAGCAAAAAACGAAATAAATAAACAGAAAAAAGAAAAAGCAATTCAGGACGGCGAAATGGCAACATTAAGGCGAGAACTTCAGCAATTGAAATTGAAATTTGACAGAGAAAAAGATATTTTGCGGCGGAGACTGAACGCTTTAAAAACTAACGCTAATCAAAATAACATTATCCTTGCTAATCCTGATGCAGATTCAGAAACGTTATTATCACACGATAACAATTCATCACATCATGAAAATGAAAAATCTTACAATCAGGAAGATACATCACTTGCAAACGCAACAATGTCTGTCGTAAGTATTATGTTATAGTCTAGCAAACGAAATTAATCATTCAAAATAACGCGTCGTACGTGGTCAAAAGTAGTCGAAATCACGTGTCTATCAAGAATTGTTGAAAATTTTGAATTCGAACGTTGAGGGAAAAAATATGTATAGAATATTATGCTTCTGCTTATAATATTAAAACATTAGATCTAGTTTATAAAATAAGTTTGTATTCACATTATTAATGTGTCGACTGAACGGAGGAGCGGGTATCAACTATATATCTAAAGATGTAAAATACTCAAATTATACTACAATTAGCATTCAGAAGGCAGCATTACAGAAATAGGCTATCTATATGTCAGAAACAACAACAATGTTTTCAAAGTTTTTAATCATACCCCTAAGATTTATAATTTAAGAAATATTTATGAATGTAAAATCAAAAAATGTACTTCTGTGAAAAAAATTTTTGAATGATATAATTTTTGTGTTAGTATTTTAAAAATAGAAAGTTATAAATCGAGAATCTGATCTTTCGGTTTTATACCTTCTCTTAAAAATTATTTTCAATCTGTGGAAATGAAATAATTATTTATTTAACCATTAAAAAATAATTTAGAATTACGAAAATTATTCTTTATACAATTACTAAACGTTTTTATTCTGTTTCTAGATAAATAACGTTTATTAATTTATTATTTTCCAGGCAGAGCGTGTACAAGAGATCGTCAATACATCTTCACCGTACCTACCTGTAAAATCAAACTATGGAAATCTCTTAGAGACAGTATTTCAAGGCCCTAGCGTTTCATCAAACACATATTCAGCCCCCACTGTAGATAAAGTAGTAAGTTAATTGATAATCTGATTATTCGCTATGTTTACTGTCATATCTTATGATTTTTTCAGTCACAGTGATAAAAAAATATGAATTTCACTCATGAGAAAACTTTATATTTGGCAATATCATAAAAAACAGTTAATCAGAATTAAAAATCATGTTTAAATATTCATTTACTTCTATTTATGTTTAAAAAAATGTATGTTTGCTTGTGAAAATTATCTACAATTTTTAATAATATTGTTAACCCTTTCTTTACCAGAAAATGCTCTTTAATGTTCAAAAAGATATAAAACGAAAGTATTTTTAATACCTAACCATAAACTAAATATGAAATGAATACGAAAGTAGTCATTAGAATTGTTCCTGGGTATGTTAAATGCCAAAGCAAGGATATGCGTAGAGACCCACTGTCAAATCTATAACTTCAATTTGATATTTCTGTAGAAATTTCTGTTGTAATATTAAATATGCAATGTTCAATGTGTGCAACAATCATCATATGCATGCAATTCAATGCCTATTTACTTGAATCCACTTGCGTATCTATTGTAAAATAATCAATAAATAAATAAAATACGTATTTTGTAACTTAAATATTTTTTTTTTGTTTAGACAGAACGGGTAGAAACTGCAAAATCAAACTATGGGCATCTTTTAGAATCACTGTATGATGGTCCTAGTGCTTCAAATAAACCCTCAAGTACCTGTACAAATAAAGGAGTAAGTTTATTGCCTTCTTTACTGTTGACAATTAATTAACTTGTAGAAGTAGGAAAGGGAAAAAAATAATATACCATTATTCGTGTATATTTAAAATTATTTATTGACATAATTATACAATACTTTAATAAACTTTATTTATCTGTCGTGAGAGAGAAAAAACAGAGCTTTTACATTTTAATAAATGTCAGGTAGTTTCGATTTTATTCACGTTATACATATACAGTTCATTTTTAGTAGATGCGTTAACAAACGAAAACTGACGAATAGTGCTGTAGACTTTTTTCAAGCTGGCATGCATAAACTGACGTAGTTGAGTACATGAGGATTACTCAAAGTGCGTTAAGTCGATTATCACAGCATTTTGGAGATATTGGAAGTCAGGACAGACTGTGGACAGCGATGCAGGAACTTGGCTTTCCAAAAAAACTAGTCCGGTTGATACGGATGTGTATGGAACGGTTACGATGTAAGGTGAGAGTTGGACAACAATACTCGGAGACATTTGAAATAAACAATGGACTAAAACAGGGAGATGCACTTTCACCACAACTCTTCAACTTAGCTCTGGAGAACATAATCAGAAGTGCAAGAATCGAAAAACCGAATACAGTATTTCATCGAGAAGGACCAAACTTACTACTGGCATTTGCAGACGATATAGATCTAATAGGAAACACGCGATTAAGGATGAAGGAGACTTTCGTAAGGTTTGAGAAGGAAGCAGAGAAGATGGGGCTCCAAATCAACGAAAACAAGACGAAATATATGTATATGAGCCGCAATAACCAAAGCAGAGACAGAATCGGTCAGAACATTACCATCGATGACTTTAACTTTGAGCGCGTTAGGGAATTCAAGTATCTTGGAATAACAATAACTGAAGACAATAACGGATCACAAGAAATAAACAACAGGATTCAGGCCGGCAACAGATGTATTTTTGCCCTCCAAAACCTTATAAAATCAAAACAACTAACACGACGTACGAAGATACAGGTCTATAAAACAATCATACGACCCGTTGTGATGTATGGAAGCGAAACGTGGACGATGACAAAGGCAAATGAAGAGAGACTACGTGTTTGGAAAAGAAAAATCCTAAGGAAGATCTTTGGTCCGGTGCTTGATGAAACATCAGGACAATATAGGATAAGAACTAATAAAGAGCTTGAAGAACTTTACCCAGACGCCAACATCATAAAAGAAATAAAGTCCAGAAGACTCCAATGGGCAGGACACCTCAGAAGACATTCTGACGAACGAACAGTAAGACTGGTGTGGCAGGAAGTCCCAACTGGAAGGAGACCACGCGGACGCCCTCGTCTCCGGTGGCGAGATAATATAGCAGGAGACTTAAGCACTATGGGCTTGGAGAATTGGATGGAGGTTGCTCAAGACAGAAAACAGTGGAGGCATGTTGTCGAGTCGGCTAAAACCCACGAAGGGTTGTAACGCCACGGAGTAAGGAGTAAGTAAGGAAGTCAGTTGAGCAACGTTGAGAACTGGGACGTGTTATAACTGTAGCTCAAGATTGATTTTTAGTTTTAACCGCTAAAATACCACCAATTACAGCATCTGAACTGGTTATGAACTGATAGTGGGCACGTCAGGTAACTAGGGGTCAAGTTACTGTAAGAATTATTCCCCATGAAGTCAACCGTTATAGTCGAAGACAGATGACCACCTCTTTCCAGAACTAATCATTCTGCAAGATTGAAACGGTATGGCATCAAGATTGGGAAATGACTGGTTTACAGTTTTATTTACCAATGAATCCCGATTGCGATTTCATCCAGAATCGTGTCGAATAAGATTCGGGAAATGCAGAACGTTTGAGAAATGTCCAGGAAGTTTTCACATGGACACAATAACGCTGGTACAATAACGGTATAGAGCGACCTCGTTTTTCCAGATTAGTTTCTGTTAGCTCAACAGTATCTCGATATTCATCTTCGCGTGCCATATCAGAATTATTCGACGTTGGTAATCACCATTGCGAAGGCTTTATAGCTTTCTTTAATTTATTGTTTGTCTTTCGTTTGGAAAATTTTCACTTTGTGAGTGATAGTTCTTGTCGACATGTCGCATGTTTTGTGTTACGAAGGTGTTCCTTCGTTGGTCAATCAGTTTAACACAAGGTGTTCCAATATAGTCATTGCCTGCACAATCTCCAGACCTCAATCGTATTGAACATATGAAATTATCTCATATTTCATCATTTTTTTAACTAAATTTAATTTTGACTTACAGTAAACGAAATAATGTAAATCTATTTCGTTTTTAGTATTCAATATTTAAGACGAGCCAAAAGCAATTGGTAGATGGAAGTAAAAAGGCCAAACATGATGACGACATCGACTATGATGGCTTGGGCGGAACAAGCAAGAGAGATATTTTTCCTTCTCCAAAAAAGCAACAAACTGGCATGAAGAGAACGAAGTCGGGATCTTCGATTTCATCTAATAAATTTAAAAAGTTGGCTCCGCTCGGTGGTGCAGCTAAACTTACACAGTTTTTCCCGAATAATCAGTGATATTTTTTGATATTTTTTAAATTGATTGATTTTTTTCAACATATTTATTTTTGTAAGCATGTTACCGTTAATATTAATAAAATTTTACCTTTGAAATTGTAATTCAACCTTTCCAAAAATTGTTTGAAACTTATATTTCATGAAGAGCGAAAACCATCTTCTTGGAAAAACAGAGAGGCCCTTTTGGTAGAAAAAAATACTTCACTTTTGTTACAGTCGTAAGCAAAATATGAACTAGGAAAAGTTCTCTTTTTTAATATAAATGATGGTGGCATATTATGTTTATTTTCCTTAAGGTCCCAACCATAGTAAGCGTCTTTTGTAGTAACTTATCTGCTATATCAGAAGTTAGATCATTACTATTTTTATTCCATATTTTTCGGGTTTACTTTGAATGTAGACCTTGAAACTGAAACGCCCGCGGAAACTAAGGAGTTGTTTATCGATACTCACATATGGCTCAGGAGTATAAACGGCTTGACAACTTTCATTAAACTTTTTCCAAACATACCGAATTGTAGCAAACTGATTGTTTGCTCCATATTTTTCTTTCTCATCAAATCACAGACAGTTGAATTAAAAATATAAAACGTTTTGCGCTCATAGTCGCTATAAACATATCAACAATAAACTGTTGTGACCACAGCTCTTCAGGTGATTTGAAGTTAGAATATCGCTCTATACAAGCTCCAGGAAAGCGCGAATTTCTTGACTGCACTTTTTTGTACAAAATATTGCCTTGTGTACTTTAAGACTGTCTTTCGATTTCTTCATTTGTATATTGAGTAATTGTGTCTACCTGGTGGTGAATCGTCAAACGGGTCATAGAAAACTCAATGGGAAATTTTAAATTGTTGAATTGCTGCTTCCCTAATTATTTTAGATCAAAAGTCATAAAAAACTATTTGTAGAGGACTAAAATCTGAATTAAAAACAAATGTTAAAACTTTTTTATATATATTATATTTTTTACAAATCAATAAATATAATGAAATGTATTCAGTTGACGAAAAATCGCATAATGTTCTGCCGTCCTAACATGAAAGGTCCTATCTGCAAAATTTGGTAAAATGACTTTATTGGCTCACGGCATTCGTAAACATATTATCTACATATGTACAAAATGAAATTGTCCTATAAGCGTCTTAAGTGCCTTATTATATACCTAAATGGTTTGTCCTAACTGACTAAAAAGCCATGTTCACTAACATAAATTGTCCTATCTCACATATACTAAGAAAAATTGTCCGTTTTGACTTTAAAAATGCAGTTAGGACTATTTAAGCTAGTATTTTATACTGAGCGGCATCATTTAGGACAATTTTTGCCTAGTATGATATAAGCATGTGTGTAACATAACTTCAAATAATTAATTAAAAAGGGTATTTGTTATTGTCAGACATTGGGAATACTCTCATGCTTTTTGGTATTTTAAGTAAATATATTGTGAGAAATGGATGAAGGGTAAGTTTAATAATGTTACCTTAGGTATAAGCAATAAATGATCGTAATTATTGTTTGTAGTAGTAACAAAAAATATAGACGCACATGCGTCTATATTTTCTGGTTGTAGCAATGCAGCGAGTCGTAGCCAGAACAGCGATAGGTGTAAACGTATGGTATTTAGCCAAAAGCGAGAATGATCCAGATTATGCACCTGGGACGTCCAATAAATTCGACAATAATATAAATGGAAATGAGTCGGATTCTAGTTTTGAATCTAACTATTATCATTTATGTCACATATATTAGGATGTAAATTGTGTACTAAGTTTTAAAACTTCTTCTTCTTTTTATATAGACATGACTGTCTGTTTTTCAATGGACCTCCAGTAAGTTGCCGTTTCATCATTTTCGTGGTCTTCCTACTGATCTCATCGTTTTCGTGGTCTTCCAACTGATTGTCTTCTTATTGGGGAACCGTCTCCTGCCGTATTTACTACTCCATTTGTTGTCATTCGGCTTGTATGATCGTTCCATCCTACTCTTCTATTTCTTACACAAATCTTAATATTCTTACTTTGTCTGATGAACCTCACCTTGCATATACATTGTATCTCTATACTCTGTATCTTATCTTAGCTCTATCCCATAGTGTTTTGCCATCAATGTTTCTAAGTGTTTTCATCTCTTCTGTTTCTAACATCCTTTTTGTCCTCTCTGTGTCAGGTCTTGTTTCTGCTGCGTATGCCAGTATTGGTCTGATGACTGTTTTGTAAATTTTGTCATTCATTTCTTTTCCGATATTTTTATTTCTTCATATTGTTTCATTCAGGCAGCATGCGGCACTGTTTGCTCTATTCACTTGAACTTCCTTTTCAGTTTTGAGCTTTCTGTAGCTAGATAATGTGATGCCTAGATATTTAAACTCCATCACTTCTCCTATTATCTTACCTTCCAGAGGACTCATAGAATCTCCCTGCCTTATCCCATTGCCAGTTACAATAGGCTCGGTTAGTTCTTCTTCTACTTTTACTAGTTTTGATTATTCCTGGAGGTATCTCTCTTGCGTACAGTAAGTGGATAACGTCTTTTAGTTTAACCCAGTCAAATGCCTTCTTAAGGTTCACGAAACATAGATATGCCGGTTTGTTGTATTCTAATGATTTCTCTTGCATTTGCCTCATTATAAATATAGCGTCGATGCATAATCTTCCCGACCTAAAACCTTGTGGTTCTTCTGCCTGTGTTATAATTTCATTCAGTTTATTTTTTATCACTTTGGTTGTTAATTTTTCATAACAGTGTTTCATAAATTAATTCCCATTCCCTTGATCTCCATTCTTGAGAAATACTATTTTTTGTTCTATTATTTTATAAAACTTAGTATAATAAAATTAAAAGTGTTCAGTTAATTTGAATTTTAATTTTATTTAGGACAATTTCAGTAAGTAATACAAAAAAACATACTTCAGATACACTAAGCTAAATTGTCCTAAGTGGCAATTTAATCAAAAATCGACTAATCTGGAAAGAATAAAACAAAATTCTGACTAGCAATTAAATTCTATTCTCTGACATAATATATAAAATAAAACATAAAGACTTCGTTAAATTACCAAGCGTTATACAATGAAAAGAAACAAAAACTTGATTTTCTCAAAACCTAAATTTTGCAGATAGGACCTTTCATGTTAGGACGGCAGTGTTGTATTCAGGCAATAGTGCGAACCTTTTCTTTGTCTAAGTTGCGAGCACTAGCAGATCTTTATTTAACGTAAGATATTCTAATACTCTAAAATTTAATTCCAAGTTATACAACGATTCCGAAGTTATTCAATGAATTTCAATATAGTGTTACTGTAATCCTTATTCCTAAAAATAATTTATGCTGTTTTTAAACATAAAACTATAACAACTGTTATAATAAAACATGAATAAAACATTTTTATTATTGCTTTTCTCCTCAACTGAGTACATTTTTTTCAACTTAATTTTTTTTAAAACAGTAGATCACAAAATAAAACTGTTGGCCATTTAAATAATAGATAAATATCATGATACTATGACCACAGTTTAACCACAAAGTTTCTTTTTTATACTATGCTATGACTTACAAGATAAGATCTTCCCGTAGCACAAAATCTGTCGTGTTCGCGCATGCCGTTATTGGAGAGTAGAATTTGAATTCTTGTTAAAGTTAAATGGGATTTGTATGCATTCGAACTAGACGAAAATAAGTTAAGGGTATTAATAATTACAATAATCGTACACATAAGGATATCTCCAAACTATTTATTAAATGGTATTTATTGATACATACAAAAAACTGACATTTCGAAAGTGCAAGTCTCCAATGACGTCACAACTTATGCGCAATATCTTATCTTCTTACATGACAAAACGCAACACGTAATACACATTTTTTCACGGCGTCTGGCCTGACTTTTAGGGGTGGCCTGAAAAATAACACACAATGTTTTGAAGCTTCGATAGAATGTGATGCTTCCGCAATGAGCATAAACGTGCTTGAATTTTTACTGCATTTTTTACTGCAAATTTCATAGATTTCATAAATTCATATTGTCAATTGTCATATTTCATATTCGTTTGTTTATTTACACCTTCTGTCACTCAAGAAAATGGGATTTATGAAATGCTGTGTTATAAATTGTAAAAATACAACAAAAAATTGTCAATTTAAGTTTTATTTGTTTCCAACTTCGAAGCCCAAATTACTACAAAGAGAAAAGTGGATTTATATCATAAAAAAGCATAAGTAACATAACCTAAATTATGCATTATTAAGAAAGAATTAATTGTTCAAACCAATATCACAGTATAGACAACAACCAGTATTCCCACTCCGCTTTGGCGCGAAAGTTCGCGCATTTTACTCGCGCAGACAGCGACGCCATTTTCTCTGGCCTCCGAAAAATTTCACGGCTCTCATTGGCCATTATCCATTGTCATTTGTCAATAATATAGAGGCCATTCTGGCCATTGTATTTGTTTACTTTTTGTGTATTTATAGATACAAATAATCTGTATACATTTTTTATTTCGCAATTACATTATATAAGTACATCGATATGTACAAAAATAAAAACAAAAAGCCTTGCCACACTTATGCAACTACAAAGTGTTGTAATACTTGTAGACAAAGTAATGTTAGTTCTTTTCGTTTCCAAAAGATGTTAATAGATACAATAGGTGAGTGTTAAATTAGGATTAAAATCGTGTATTACAGATGTTATATTATTTATTAACGGTGGATTTTCATCGTGTATTAAAAAATGTTTGTATTTAGGGCAAAAATTTGGTTAATGGCATGTGAACGAGAAGATTTATTGGATAAGACAGAACGTCTACATAGAAGTCGTCGTCTTTGTGGTACTCATTTCCACAATAAGATGTTTCTGAATATGAAAAGTCGATTACAACCTTCTGCAGTTCCCACAAACTTTCCTTTATTGGAGGGCTCATCAACTTTTGATCATACTTATTCTGCAATAGTCTAACACATATGTCTGCCAAGATCTCCTATTAATAAAGGTAAATAAAATAAATAATTAAGATGTAACACCTATGTAAGCTTTCTCTTTTTCTTTTAGAAGTAGTGAAAAGTTCAGCTATGGATATAGAGAAAAATGTTAGTATTAAACATAAACCATCCACTATAACTGTACTTCAGGATATTACTATTACTCCTGTTAAAAACAACATATTCTATGAAGAACCTGAACATGTAACTACACGTCCAGTAACACCACTTAGTACAACTCAAGTGTCACAACAATTATTAGTGAATACTCCCCGAAAAAATGTATGACAAAGTACAGTTATACAATTACGGAAGGAAAATCATTATTAAAAAAAAATTCAGAAGTTACAGTCTAAAAAAAAGAAATATATTGACAATGTGACAATTGAAGACTATATGGCACTTACATCTAAATTATATCCTTTTGCAAATATAGCTAATTTCATTAATTTTCAAATTTTACAATCTAGAAAAAAGGTAAGAGGTAGAAGATTTAGTAATCAATTTAAACAAGAATGTCTCTTAATGTACTTCACTGGACCAAAAGTTTATAGAAATTTTTTGTGCAAAAAATTTTGTTTACTTAGTCCTAATACATTATTTAAACACATACAACATATTATCTAACTTCTCATGCATGCAAATCACTGCTCATGAGATATAATTTGTTTATCTTCTGAAATTCTAAACTACAAAATAATACTTTGTATAACTTAATGTGTACTTACTTATTTTATTCATGTATATTTTATTTGTAATTGTATAGGTATATTGTATATATCTATAATATTATATTTTTGTATATTTTGACAGTGGGTAATAAATTTTATACCATGTGTGTGGATATTTAATGAAAAAATGTATAGAAATCCATAGTTGTAAAATGTGTGACAGATACTCAAAAACTGTAACTAATTTGTCAGATACTACTGTATATTCATGTTTAAGGGATATGAAAATAGAACTGGTGAAACATTTGGTAATCTAAAAATGGCTATTGTTGATTTTGTTAACTATATTAGTATACTTGACTGTCTCTTTCACAAGAATTTTGGCATATTAGCCAAATATATGTTTCTCTATTTAGTACCTTAAATTTTAGCCACCCTTGTGAACAATTTCCACTAAAATATTGTATAACTTTATTTAGCTGTGTACGTTTGTACTATTCATTAAAATTCATGAAGAGAAATTTCAAGACTAAAAAACATGAAAATATAACCAAAAGAAGAAATAATAAATTGATTATTTGGAAACATCAATAAAACATTATTTACTTGTTTATAACAATGTAAAAAGTCAAAATACTCTTTTTTTATTACAGTGATCAGATAATATCGATTAATACTTAATGTACCTATCTAGGGGGTTTCTTCACATTCTCTTATGTTTTTAGAGAGATGTAACTAAAATATTTTATCATATTCCATAAAAATGTATTAGAGCATTACTTCTAATTAATTAATAATTAATTATATTGACATTAATCAAGATCAAGTAAACAGCATTGTAAAATATCATTCAAAATCACATTTGAACAAAAGCAATTGTTTATAGAATAATCCATACTCCTGAATTGCTTTAGCTAATTTCTTTTCATATTCCTTCCCGTTCACTGCGTCAGAATTTACATTTCCATGTATCTCATCGCAGAACTAATTATAGTTCAAATATAGGTATGATCTGACTTCCCATACATGCAAATCAGTGCTCATGAGATATAATTTGTTTAACTTTTGAAATTTTAAACTACAAAATGATACTTTGTAAACTTAATGTGTACTTACTTTATACATGTATATTTAATTTTTATCTGTAATTGTATTTATCTACAATGTATTTTTGTATAATTTTGACAGTGGATCTGTCACCTTTGTTATTAATAAATAAATGTAATATCTAATGTAACACGTAATAATAAATGAAGTTTATTTAAAAATTTATTTTTTATTTCCACAAATCCATTCTTAACATTAACCGGATGGCACTACTTTGAGCACTTTGTATGATTCCGTTAGATGTCTAATGTACATCAACAAGAATTGTTGGAAAAAACTCAAAGAAAATTTGTGTTATGAAGTACAGTTATGAAATTATAGAAGGAAAACCATTATTTAAATAAAAAATTCAGACATTACACTCTAAAGAAAAGAAATGTGTGGATAATGTGACAATTATTGAAGACTATGGCACTTACATCTAAATTTTGTACTTCATTAAATTTAACTAATTTCATAAATGTTCAAATTTTACAGTCTAGAAAAAAGGCAAGAGGTAGAAGATTCAATAATCAGTTTAAACAGGATGTCTCTTAATGTACTTCAAGGGACCAAAAGTTTTACAAAAATATTTTGTGTAACAAATTTTGTTTACCCAACCCTAATCTATTATTTAAAAATAATATAGCAGACAGTTACACAAAAAGTGTAACTAATTTATCGGATACAACTGTATATTTATATGTTAATGTATATAAAAATAGAACCGGTGACACATTTGGTAATCTAAAAATCCCTACTGGTGATTCTGTTGACTTTATAAGTAGGTATACTTGGCATTCGCTTTCAAAATAATTTTGACATATTAGCTATACAGCCAATTATTATTACAAAATGTTTCTCGATTTATTACAACTTTTAGTCACCTTTTGAACAAAGTCCACTCAAATATTGTACAACTTTATTTAGCCGTGTACGTTCGCACTATTTATTAAAATTCAATAACAGAAATTTCAATACTCAAAAATATGAAAATAAAACTAAAAGAAAAAACAAAATAATTATTTGGAAACATCAATAACACATTATTTAATCGTTTATATCGAAATAACAAGTCAAAATAGTCTATTACAATGACCAGGTAAGATCAATCACTAATCAATATACCTATTTAGGAGTTTTGTTCACATCCTCTTGTGTTTTTAATGAGATATAATTAGAATATATTAACTAATTCCAAACTCTATTTGAATTTTGAAATGAAACTTTGCATTTTATTCTACTTTATAAACATGCAGCTTTAAAACTAGCATGTTTATTAAAAACTGTTGCATAACTCCCTATTTGATTTTTTTATAGTGTATAAGGCAGTTCTGTAACAAATAGTTGTGAAACGTTAGAAAACAAAATCATACACAACGTAGTGAAAGAAACAATTTTAGGTTTTTTTTTTAATTTCTCGAAGAATGAAAGAGTAACAAGAAAAAAGTTTTGAAATTAAAATCAATTTCGTTAAATAAATTTTCAAAATAAATCAAAGTCGGCTCTGTCGCGTCCATATGTGCAGAGCCAGTCCTAGGTTTTCGGCCAAACAATATGGCGTCAAGGTCACCGAATTTGGACTAAAAAGATCAAAGGTACCGCCGCAGAGTGAGAATACTGGTTGTTATTTATACTGTGCCAATATGATGATATCATGGGCTTAACCTGCTAATTTATGCATTAGCATTATTTATGGTAATTTATTTTTCTTAATTCTTCCATTCTTTTTTGACATTTGCCACTACTAAAGCTTTTCCATTTGACTCAGTGCTTGGTTGAAAAGTTATTTGGTGATTTACTTTCTCAAATCCAGTTTTTATTATTGCATCCATATTAACAGTAATGCTGTAATTTAATAATATATTTATTTGTATTTACACTACATACAACGTTTACCTTTTAATAACATACCGACATAACCTCAATCTTACTTTTTCTTCTCATTCTTTTTTGAGGCTACGTCCTTGACAGTTATCCGGTAACCTCGATCTAACATGAAATCGCAGTAAATTTTGCTGATTTACGACACCAGGTGTCGCTCTTCCGAACTTGCACGGTCCCAATAAGAGTGTAAACTTAGATAGAGTGGGATCCTACATAAATTCTCGGCAAGGCAACAATATCTAAAGAAGGTTCACTTTATGACTGAGAAACTTATAAGAAAATTCTATGTTAATAGGGATATAGGTACTGAAAACATAAGTCCAATGGAATAAGCTAAACCAAGTATGACTTAAGAAAAGTCGTACCTAAAAGTATTATAAAAACAAAATAATATAATTTATAATTAGAAATAACAACAAATAGTAACTTATTAATTCTTATATATTTATATTTATATAATAATAAGCTGATAAATCATGACAGGTTTATAATGGCCACATTGTAATCCCATCACAGTTCATCTGCAGCAAAATTTTACAACAAAACGTGCCACCAAATTTTGTACATTGATATTAAAGCTTCACAAAAACACCAGCAGTTTTAGGTAATGTTTGAACGCTTCGGGCGGGTTTATATCTCGAAAGCCGGCGAACGATCCACATCTGCAGCTGGATAATATTATCTCTTTGGAGGGCTTGCAGCCACTAACCATAACAAGGCCTAGCAGAGTAACACTTTATGTAACTTTTTCCAAAGTACGTCGTTACTTCCTCGCCCGAGACGGTTCACTTGTCAAAATGGAAGAATTCTGAAAGAAAAAAAGTTTATTAGATTAAAAAAAAAACACACGTACCGTAAAACGGGGTTACTTTGCACCATAGTTTTTAGTTTCATTTTCTTAGAGTGGATATAACGTTACTCGAAAGAAGATCTGAACTTTTTATTATAAATATCTATTCAACAATACTATTCAACTATATAAAGAACGTGCGAACATACAGAGGACCAAACGCTGACTCGGATCACTTCATGTTAGGAATTAAAATGGCTCAACTGATACCAGAAGAAAAAAATCGCAAAAGAAAAAATAAGAACACAAATAAACCAGTGCGGCTTGTAACGCAAGAAGAACAAGAAATGTATAGAAAAGGTATCGATAGAAAATTAAATGAAATACACTTAGAAGGGCACATAGACAAGGACTGGGACAAAATTCAGCAGATTATCAGTAACACAGCTAAAGAATGCAATAAAAATATAACTAAAAAGAAAAAGGATTGAAAGTGATACGGAAAAAACAAGAAACAGATATGAAAAACAAAGAAAAATCGTAAAAAAAGTTTTGAGAATAAAAAAGAGAAAGTACATGGAAAATCAGCTGAAAGAAATAGAAGAAAATTAGAAAAATCGAGAAATTAGAAATTTATATCAGGGAGTAAAAATGAAAAAAGAGGATACCAACAGAAAACAATATTTTACAAAGATAAAGAGGGAAACGCCATAAGTGGAGAAAATGAAATAGCCGCTAGATGGAAAGAATACTTCGATGAATAGCGAAATGACGAAAACAGGATAGAACAGCCACAGCCTATAAGAACGGAGAAACATAGGAACCAAATAAATGAGACAGAAGAAACACCCCCTACCAGAAACGATATAAAGGAAATAATAAAGAAATTAAAAAATAACAAGAGTCCAGGAAGTGATAATATATCTGCAGAGATGTTCAAATATGGAGGGAAAACGCTAGAGGAGCAAATGTTCAAATTAATAAAGGAGATTTGGATTAAAGAACAACTACCACAAGAATGGACAGATGCAATTATATGGCCACTTTATAAGAAAGGCGATAGGACAGATTGTCAAAATTACAGGGGGATATCACTATTGAATACTGTATACAAAATTCTTGCACCGTGTATAAAGGACAAATTGGCAGGAGTGATAGAAAACATTGTCGGCGAGTACCAATGTGGCTTCAGACCTGGTAGAAGTACAACAGATCAGATATTTACACTCAGAGAATTGCAAGCGGAAAGTTACCAACACAATCTGCCGACAAGGGTCCTCTTCAATGATTTCAAACAAGCGTACTATAGAATAAAACGGAACCAAATGAGCAAAGCACTAGAAGAATTGGGTATCAGTAGAAAACTTATAAGAATGATACAAATAACGTTGTCCAAGACTGAGAGCAGAGTTAAAATAAATAATATAATGTCGGAAAAATTTGAAGTCAGTGAAGGAGTAAGGCAAGGAGATCCCCTATCATCGATACTATTCAGCTTGTGTTTGGAGAAGGTTATACGAGATGCAAATGTCAACAGAGAGGGATTGTTATACCAAAGAAAGCACCAATGTCTAGCCTTTGCTGACGATGTAGTAATACTGGCACGAAGCAAATGGGAGCTACAAGAAGTAGTAAAGAGGCTAGATAGAGAGGCAAAAAAAATAGGCTTAGCCATCAACGAAAGTAAGACAAAATACATGGAATGGATAGATGACAGTGAACAAAAAGGAGGAAATCTAAAAATAGAAGTAGAGGGTGAAAAAGCATATATATTTGAAGCAGTGGAAACATTTACATACGTGGGGTCGATGTTCACATGCAAACCAAATATTAGAGAGGAGCTCCAATCAAGAATAACGGCAAGAAACCGATGCGTGTACTCATTAAACAGTCTATTAAAAAGTAAACAGATATCTAGGAATGCCAAAATAAGGATTTACAAAACAGTTATACAACCAGTGGTAACCTACGCCAGTGCAGGTGGACACTGAACAAAGGCGAAACAGGTATACTCGAAATATGGGAAAGGAAGATTTTGAGAAAGATATTTGGAGGCAAGACAATGCATGGAAAAGAAGAACAAATAAAGAATTAGAAGATATGTACAAGAATCCTAGTATAGTGGGAGTAGTAAAGGCTCAGAGACTCAGGTGGCTAGGGCACATAGAAAGAATGACAAATTCTCGAGTACCAAAAATGATTCTGATGCATACAATGGGTACAAAAAACAAGGAGAGGAAGGCCGAGAAGTAGATGGAAGCAAGAAGTAGAGAAAGACCTAGAAACACTGGGAACAGAAAGATGGAAGGACAAGGCTACTAATAGGAAGAAATGGAAAACAATAACAGCTCAAGCCATGGGCCTACTAGGCTCGTAGTGCAACAGGTCGTTATATAGCTCTTATTATAGCTGTTTTTTAGTTATATTGCATAATTAAGAGATTATCAGTCTTAATTTTATTAGTGGTGCAAATTATACCCTAGAAGAGTCATACTTTGCACCACTTGATATTTTAATAATATTTGGCTGCGAAATGCTTGCTGGTGCATAATAATCCTATCTGATTTTAAATTTTGCACCATTTAAATGCAAAAAAAATGTTGGTCGGCCCAGTTTTTTTAATATAAACCTACCCACATTAATTTATGAAAGAAGCCTAACGGGAAAGAATATTATTACATTTTGAATGAACGAACTTTATTATAACTACAATATTGAAAATACAAAGTTTGAATCTAATCCCACCACAGAAAGCCAGAGGATGTATATAATGAGTGGATAACGTCTTCTCACACCCACTGTCAACTCTTTTATTTTAAAAATAAAAATATTATGCACGGAGAAGCCAAAATTATTTAATCAATATTTTTTTCCAGACGATCAATCAATTGGACGACGTTGACCCATAGAATGGTCACCGAGATCACCGGATCTTACCCCATTAGTTTTTCTTCTTCTTAGGTTACCTAACGTTCAAGGTATACCAGACAATTAACAGACAAATCCATAAAACTTGCTGATCTACGTCACAGTTATAGAAGAGTATAACAACATAACTAGACAAATGTTGCATAATAAAATACTGCTACTATATAGTAGTGAAGTGATTATTGATCAGTGTAGTAACGTCTGGGGGCTCAGGAGACTGCGACTTCGGAAGCTCTGAAGAAGACATCAGAGGGGATGTCGAAAGCTCGGCGCAATTAAAATCAACGCGGTTCAACCCGGAAGACTTATGAGTTTAATATTAATTTTTATAATAGTATTAAAATTAGCTCTATGTTTAATATATATATAACAACTAATTTACTTACCATTTCAGTGGTAAGACAGTTGATAGCGTGTTCCACGGTTTTCTTGTGATGAGATTTCGAAGACGTATGGGTTCCTTGCCTCAAGGGAGTCGTTGGACAACCTAACAAATTCAAAAGTAATATAAAAACTGATAAATGCTTCACAAAATGTGCCAGGATTAAGTATAATTCAAAAAAAGGATAACAGTAGGGTGTAGATGGGAACTGAAGTTAGGATTTATGTTGGCAAATAAAATAATTTCGATATTTTCAATTAAATTTTTGAAGGACATAAAACTCAATTTTTTATACATTTTCACTAAATTTTTACAGAAATTATATAAAAATCTTAGCTTAGACCAAATGCTAATTAGTATTTTTAGAACATGGTATTTCTTTAACTTTATAAGTCTCGATATGGTCTATTTTTTGTCTGTATAAAAAATTTCGCAGTATGTTTTAGTTTAAAAACGCACTATATTCAAGCTATACTCTTTTGGACACACAACATTACAGATTTTCATATTAAAATTATATTTTTCATATGTGCATGGTAAGTGTTTATTCCGAACTGTAACAGCAGTTAATATGAATAGTACATTACATTAAATCTAAATTTATTTTGCTCCATTTCCTTTCCAACAGTTTTCTTTATTATATTACTCATGTCCCTATTTTTCTTGTCCGCTTTCATAATACTTAATCTTCAAAGAGTTAGTATTTGGGTAATTTAACTTCTATAATAAGTACTGAGAATGTAGATAGTGTGCAGTAGATCGATGTCATACTAATAACATTTTTTGGGTTACTGCTTTAACTATAAGCTGAAATTTTTTATCTTATAGGTAAATCATTATAAAACAAACTAGTGTGATTTCAAATAATTGATGGATTCGACCGTTACTTGATGGAAATTCATTTTATGTAACAATAAAACACTGAAAACTTTGTTTTCAAACTTCCACAAAATTTATTTTAACTATTATCACTACAGCTGTTTCGGCTGATAGCCTTTCTCAAGTGATCTATTTTTGGCATGCGTTTACAATTTATAGTCTCTAATGAAATAGGTTGAGGAGGGGAGAACTGTTTGTCTCAAGTTGGTCATTCAGAATTATATTTGTGTTTTTTAATTTATTGATTTCCATAGATTCTAACAAAGATAGCTTAAGTCCTTTATTTTGAACGTGAAGAATTTTAAATTTGTCATTAAAAGAATGATTAAGATCTAGAAGGTGAAGTGCGTATGTCGAATCTGTTTTTCTATTCTTGAAAGCCCTTTTATGTTCTGCTATTCGTTTCTCAAAGTTTCTACCAGTTTGACCGATGTAAGTTTTTGGGCAGTCGCCACATTGAATTTTATACACACCACTATTTAAGTGTTTTTTATTTTGGCTCTTGGTATTTTTAATATATTTACCTAGGTTGTTATTTGTTCGGAAAGCTGGTATTATTCCTTTCTTTTTTATATGTTTGGCAATTTTTGTTGTTATTTTGCCTGTATATGTAATCGAGCAGAAGGTACTGGGTTTTTTCTCTGGTGGTGGAAATACTATTTTCAGGGCTTTCTTGTGTAGTTTTTGATTTAACATTTTATTAATTGTTTGTTCGTTGTATCCGTTGTTTACTGCTATTTGCTTAATTATATTTAATTCTGTCTCAAAGTTGTCTTTTGACATCGGAATTTCTGTTAATCTATGTAACATACTATGATAAGCTGCCAGTTTATGTTGTGTTGGATGGGATGATGAATTGTGTATAGTCGTGTCAGTATGGGTAGGTTTACAATAGAAACAGAACAAAATCAATGCATAAATTTTTTAGATTTAAAAATTAGCAGACTTCAAAACAAACATGACTTCTCTATATTTCACAAACCTACCCATACTGACACGACTATACACAATTCATCATCCCATCCAACACAACATAAACTGGCAGCTTATCATAGTATGTTACATAGATTAACAGAAATTTCGATGTCAAAAGACAACTTTGAGACAGAATTAAATATAATTAAGCAAATAGCAGTAAACAACGGATACAACGAACAAACAATTAATAAAATGTTAAATCAAAAACTACACAAGAAAGCCCTGAAAATAGTATTTCCACCACCAGAGAAAAAACCCAGTACCTTCTGCTCGATTACATATACAGGCAAAATAACAACAAAAATTGCCAAACATATAAAAAAGAAAGGAATAACACCAGCTTTCCGAACAAATAACAACCTAGGTAAATATATTAAAAATAACAAGAGCCAAAATAAAAAACACTTAAATAGTGGTGTGTATAAAATTCAATGTGGCGACTGCCCAAAAACTTACATCGGTCAAACTGGTTTAAACTTTGAGAAACGAATAGCAGAACATAAAAGGGCTTTCAAGAATAGAAAAACAGATTCGACATACGCACTTCACCTTCTAGATCATAATCATTCTTTTAATGACAAATTTAAAATTCTTCACGTTCAAAATAAAGGCCTTAAGCTATCTTTGTTAGAATCTATGGAAATCAATAAATTAAAAAACACAAATATAATTCTGAATGACCAACTTGAGACAAACAGTTCTCCCCTCCTCAACCTATTTCATTAGAGACTATAAATTGTAAACGCATGCCAAAAATAGATCTGAGAAAGCCTATCAGCCGAAACAGCTGTAGTGATAATAGTTAAAATAAATTTTGTGGAAGTTTGAAAACAAAGTTTTCAGGGTTTTATTGTTACATAGTGTGATTTCTTTACTTTTGCTTAAAGTTATCTTTAAGCAAACATCTTATACCCTTTCTTTTCTTTGTTTTGTCATCGTATTCCTCATTTGTTACAAATCATGCGGAGACGCATAGTGTTCATCAATTTAACTAATAAAACTAAGTCCTGAATATCAATATGTACATTTACCACCACTAAAAAATATCTTTCTTATGTACCCCAACTAAATAAATGTCATGTTAGTGCTAACCATGCATCTAAATATTAAAACCTTGTTTAACACGTCACTTAGTGTAGTAGTTCATTATAGTAGTATAGTAGTACCAAGTCTAAAACAAACACAATATTTCCCATGACAATAATCCACATAAAACAAACACAAATGATACAATAAAACGATGAATTCAATAGTTAGAAGAACGTTTTATCACGACGAAAAACTTTCATTGGTTAATTTCCTAAAGCTGTCTTTGATTTTTTACGTTTTTTTGCATACTTAACCAATACCTACGGTTGTCAGACCTAAAGCTACTTAAATTGGCTGTTTTTATTAATTAATAGTAGTAATAATTAATAATATTAATACTCGTTTTATAGGATAACAACGGTTTCGTGTTTCTATTTCTTAGCCATTATAAATAATGTTAAACAGAAAAATATTGTATGCTGTACTGTCACATAGTCACATAATATAAATTATATGTAAGACAACTGGTTCGAAAACATGCAAAAATTATTGGGAATCTACTTTATATCCTCATTTGCAAGTAAGATATAGCAAATTTATTTCTTCGTCAAATTTCAAAAAGTTTCATTAAAAACCTTTTATTGTTAACAATTTCTGCAATTATAATAATCAGTCAGAAATAAATTTACTGAGTTTATTTTTAAATCTCTAAGTTCTACAAAATCACCCATTCATTCGTATTTGTTGCGATGGAATGGTCAGCCTAGCGCATACCACAGAAGTTAGTGTGTAGGGTACTATTCTAAGGAAATACTAGATGTCCTAGTTTGACTTAGTATCGTATTTGTCGATAAACGTTTATAACTTTTCAAACTAAGGCAACCAGGGAAAGAAACAAGTGAGAGGAAGTATCAATCTTTCGAGTTTATATATTGTTTTTAATTATAATTTTTGATATACACCATAAAAGCAATATAAATGTTCAATAAAACAAAGACAGACAATAAAGATATACGTAATTAATAAACTAATTTCGTCAATTCATAATATTCCAAAATTCTGTAAGAGTGCATGATTTCTAAAAAGAACGTACATAGGTATTTAAAATTCTAAACTATATGAAACAAATTCAGTCTCAACCTAACCTAATCTTAAACGTCCTGTAACATAACACAAATTTTGTTATACCAAATAGGTAAATAGAGTTACTCAAAGACGTATCCATGCATTCATTTTTCAATCAAGATAATCATCATATTCAAAATAGACAAACCGGATTAAAAAATATATTAAGCAAGTGGAAATTCCATCTATGACCTACAAGATTGTCAAGGTCTCATAGATATATTAAAATCTACCAAGTGCCTAATCCCTTTCAGCTCCTACCCTTACCGCTAGTAAGACTTCACAAGAACAGATAGAGGAGCATTCCATTAAAATTTAAACCTACTGACAGAGGAGGAAAACTCAGTCATGAGTAAGATGACAAAATTTTCTTGGTCCTTAATAGGCCGAAAAGGCAACAAAAAACAGTTCGATAATTCTGTATTTAAATTATAAAGGTGAACCCATTCTAGGCATGCCTGTAGACTGAATGGTTTAAATGTATAGCTTCAAAAAGACGGCTCCAAAGCTGATGAAGGTATGGGGTATGTTTATTATAGCACAAGACCAAGGCCAGAAATTCGGTTAAGCTTATGAACATATGCCACCGTATTTCAGGCGAAAGTTGCCGCTATACAAAGGTGTGCTATGATACTAATATGTAGGCAAGTATAGAAAGGCTGAATCATGATCTACTCCGATAGTCAAGCATGTCTAAAAGCACTCAGTTGTATACAAGTTGGTTAAAAAATTGTGTTGGACTGTTTGGGTACCCTCTCCCAGGTTGTAAGTCGGAATAAACTAGCCTGAGAAGGCGCTTATACGACAGTAATTGACCTGGAGCTCTACTGCGAGGTAACACAAACAAAACAGCAGCCATTGATAAATGGGTACAAGAAAAGTCTTTGAAATAGTGGGTAAATGCACCAGGACACAAAGAGACTAAAGAGTTCACTAAGGGACATTCAGCCAAATTCACAATCGACGTACTGACCCAAAATCTGAGTCATATGAGCTAGAAGGAAGAGTATTACGTCAGTGTGAAGGTCTGACAAGTCTGCGGTATCTAGAACTCGAAGAGGATAAACCAAAAGCATCAGTCTATATGAAAAGATCGCTGCGAAGGATGTGGAAACTCATTAAGAGAGTAGGGCCGGATGAGGAGCTTTAAGTGACAAAGCAAAGCACATTAGATACGTAAAACTCGAAGTGTGTTATGCTGAGGGCCGCCGTAGTTGTAATCTGTATTACTGAGGATCAAAGGGTAAAAAAAAACCAACATAAAAAAGAAGGCTTACTATCTAAAACCGGAAAACCGGCGACTCATAGAAGAGTCACGAAAGATGTGCACTAGATGACGAAATCGGTAACCTCCAGAAGCTTGGCGTTATAGGGGAAGGTGTCGGCAGAAAACTTTATTAATTGGAAAAAGATAGTGCAGTAGAGTAAAGCTGTAAGTGTCGTTGACCTCATTACAGAAATAAGTCCTCTTTCCCGGTATTATAAAGATCACTGGCTTGTTAAACCGGCTTAAGAATTGTAAAGGGTTGAATTTGTTAAATTTAAATATCTATAATACTGTTATAGTATTAGTAATTACAAAATTCCCAAAAGTGATCAGTTTAAATGATAAATTACTACATAAAATAAAACAAAAACAATATGAGAAAACCTTCCTGGGCGGCAAATATTTGGGTCTAAATAATCAACTCAGTGGGTCAAAATAAACATACATAATTTACTTAAAACTGGAACTAGTCTATAACATTAATATATTTTGGTGAACTTTCATATTTTGTGAGTATATTTATGTATTCTATATAAACAAAAAACTCGAAATATTGATTAAGAAAAACCCGAGACACTCGTCCCATCCGGTAGTGTCATCACTCACCCATATCTCCACTACTTGATGATTCGGTAAAAGAGGGTGTACCTTCAGTCCAGGTCGGAGTGGAGCCTTCAACGGAGGTCGGGGGAGTCCATGCCAACCCCCTGGAATGACTCGAATATCCACCCGCACCTGAACTGCCCGATTCTACACTAAGCGATGATGATTTGTTTTCTGGACGAGATTCTAGCTTAATGTCACTTATGCTACAATAAAACATATACAGACATTTAACTGGCGTCAACATAAGCAAACGGATAATGAAGTATAGGAAAACAGTAAATTAAAATTTACTATTTTTAGCAAGCATTTAATGGCGGAATAGCAAATTTAAGTGGGCCATTTAAATTCTAAGTAAGTCATTTGTCAATAATTGATGAAAACTTATTTTCATCTATAAAACTTATTTTCGTTCTATAAATTTGCTATTCAGCCACAGCTTAGTTGTTTAACCATAATGAAGAAATGTTATCAATGTTTTGAATATTGTAATGGTTTATGGTGAATATGAATATCGAAGAATGTTGCGTTTCCATTTAATTTGAGTTTCTTACCACTCCCTGACACGTGTTTCTGGGTCTGCCCGTCATCAGAAGGAGTTTGTAAGAAGACTCGAACCAAATCAAATTGCACCGATTACTCTGGCAATTACAGGAAAATAACTACCAGAGTACGCAACTAGAGACCTCTAGTGAGGAAAGATGACGATACAACGAATCTTCAATATGAATAACTTCTGATAATACTGAAAACTATTTTTTTAATTGTTTGATAATTTAATACACTAACGCTATATTTTGGTTAAATATATATATGTCAAATAATCTACATTATGATTGACATCAGTAGAGAGAATGATTCTCTCTCCTTATGTAGTCAATTACAATGTAGTTTCGCCTTTTTTTTTTCAGCTCTTTTTCTTTTTCATTCTCAACAGAACATCCTCATTATTAACGTGGTCGGTATAACATATCTTCAGGATGCGACGATAAAGCCACATTTCAAAAGCCTCAATTTTCTTGCAAGTGACGTCTGTGAGATTCCATGACTCAACTCCGTACAACAGTATAGGAAAGTTGTAACATCGTAGTAACCTGATTTTTATGGGCATTGATAAATCATGACATTTGAATAACTTAGCCATTTTTTGAAATGCAGACCTTGCTTTCTCTATTCTACATTTGATTTCTATGGAATGGTCCCAATTTTCATTGACGTTCGTACCAAGGTAGGTGTATGTTTTTACTCTTTCTATTTGTTGACCGTTTACACTGATTTGTCCAAATTGCTGTTCCTTCTTAGAGATCATCATGCATTTTGTTTTCTTAGTGTTTAGTGAAAGTCCGTATCTCTGACTGACCTCTGTGATTCTGTTCATTAACTCCTGGAGGGTTTCAGAGCTGTCAGCGAATACTACCGTGTCGTCCGCGTATCTAATGTTATTGATAGATTCTCCGTTGATTCGAATTCCGGCTTCAACATCCACACACTGCTTCTTGAAAGATTTCCTTAGAGTATATGTTAAACAGCAGTGGTGATAGTATACATCCCTGACGGACGACACGTTTGATTTTGATATCGTCGGATTCTCCTGCCTCTGTCCGGATAGATGATGTTTGATTCTAGTACAGATTGATGACAATTCTTAAATCACAGGTGTTTATTCCAATATTTTTTTAATATCATGATAAAAGGTTGCCTGGGAAAAAAGGTCGCAAATTAAGGTCACCAGCTGTTAAAAACGCGAGGTATTCAAGATAAAGTCACAGAGAGCTACCGCGTAATGTCATTGTCAATTGTCACACTCAGTTGTGTGAGTTTTAAAGCATGCGTTGATATAGTACAAGATCTCACTACAGAATGACTACGCTCATAACGTAGTTCATCAAAGTCACATTTTTAAATACATTTAAATTAGGAGAATACATTGATAATAGATTACCGGTCAAAAAGTGGCCGCAAATATTTTTAATTCAATTAATAGTAATAATTTTTTGACAAATAGGGTATTAAAGTATCTTGAACACAATAGTTGTCAGAATTTTCAGTCATACGAAAATTTTGAGTGTATTTTAGGTAATTAGCGTAAGCAACAAGCCTTGAGTTTACAAGTAAGCTCTCGCACATAAAACGTCACAATAAACTTACAGGTACCTACTTATCTTTGTTTGTTCTAATTTAGAGAATTAGTAAAAGTACATAATTAAAAATCAAATTCATCACAATTATTTTGTGTTTTCTATGAAATACTTTCTTTTGTTCCTCATAAATTAAAACTTTTTACTAGACAAATCACATTGTAGGTTAGTGTAATAATCTAAAATGGCCTCATACTCACTTTAAAAGAAAAAATATACAACGAATTGTAAAAGTACGGTAAAACAATTAATCAATTTAATATTGAATAGCATTAAAACCATAGGTCTGCCAGAATCTGGCAATTTTTTTATATCAAATTAAAACCATTCTGACCAGATTTTTTTGTTAAAAGCAATACTTGAACACCAAACCAGAAGAAATGTGATGCACAAATGATACATATTAGTGACAGTAAACGTATATGACTTTAAGCATTGAAAAACGATCTCGATGTAACTAAGTAAAAACTGGAACAGAACACGGTTTTCAAACACAAACCTACCTGTGCCTATAGAGGGAAAAGATTCGGCGGTTGTTATAAAATTCGGAAACCTCGGATGCAGTATAATCAAAATGGTTGATCCTATGGTACAAAATAATAAAATAATGAGGTGTTGATATCAACTTTTAGTTGATACATTATACTGTTTTATAAACATCAAAAACAATTAAGCGGTTGAAGTAAAGTCTATTATATAAAGTGTAAAAATGACGAAGGGACATTACTTCATTTTAGATTAGATTCTTACCAAAATCTAAGATCAGTGAGAGCAATAGGCAGAAGCACGTCTATTTGGTAAATATTTTTAGGGGATTTTTAGAAGGTTAGTGACCAATAAGGAAACCAGGATTTGGGTGATTGATTGTGAAGTGTGGATAGACGATAGAACGCTCTTGCATCCAGCAGTGAGATTCATACATTTTCCTGCACAAAGCTGGATAAAAGAGGAGGGTTGATGGGCCAGGTTAGCATCCTACTCATTGTAAAAGAAAACAAGGCTCAAAGAACCGATATAAAGCCTCGGAACTAGCCCGGAACCTAAGATGACGAACCACGCAAAGAAAAGGAAATCGAGAAGGAAAAACAAACAATCCTGGATGAAATAACGCATAAAGAACCCTTAATTCTTATGCGTGATACGAATCGGAAATGAAATAGTTCCAGGAGTAAAACAGATTTAACGAAAACCATGTCAACGCAAATGGAGAATTCATGAATAATCTCTGTGCTTTTAACGAACTGAGAATCAATCAATATATTTTTCGATCATAAGCTCCAGTATAAATATATGTTTGAAAACTCCAGGGGGCACAAATCTATGATTGATTCATCAAAGTCGAAGACGTCTTACACCTACTGTATAAAAGGAATATACAAAACATCGAAATATCTACAACATTTACTTTCATAATTGAATACAGGCAAAGATAAATGAAAACTAACACAGTGTATACCAGTACAAAGCGAAAGTAGTCAGACAGGGTGACTCGTTAAGCTCAATTTTCTTTAATATAATAATGGACGAAATAATACAAGCAGTACATAAAGGTCATGGTTACAGAATGAGGAACCAAGACACCCAAATATTATGTTATGCAGGCGACGCCTCATTAATAGCCGAGACAGAAGACGAGCTCCAAAGATTAACTTCTTCTTCTTTAAGTTCCATCTTCTATCGAAGGTTGGAAATCATCATGGCTATGCGAACTCTGTTGACTGCCGCTCTAAAAAGTTCTGCACTACTGCATTCAAACCATTCCCTTAAGTTCTTAAGCCAGGATATTCTTCGACTTCCCACATTTCGCTTTCCTCGGATTTTGCCCTGCATAATAAGTTGTAATAATGCGTATTTTTGACCTATCATCACATGTCCCAAGTACTCAAGTTTTCGTCTTTTAATAGTTAATATTATTTCCGCCTCATTTTCTATCCTTCTAGTTACTTCCATGTTTGACATTCTTTGAATCCATGATATTCGTAGGATTTTTCTGTAACACCAAAATTAAAAAGGCGGCCAGCTTATTCAGATAAACTTGTTTGAGTGTCCAAGCTTCCAGACCATAAAGAAGAGTAGAGAACACGTAACATCGAAGCATTCTCAGGCGTAGTTCTAACCTTATATCCCGACAACAAAGAAACTTTTTAAGTTTAATAAATTATGTACGTGCTATTTCAATACGTGTCTTAATTTCTTTGGTTTGGTCTACATCTGATGTTATCCATGTTCCTAAATATTTATAGTTATTAACATTCTTAATTGCAGTATCTTCAATGTGCAGATTTAGTCATGATCATGCATTTAGTTTTCTTTAAATTTATCTTCAGTCCGTACTCATGACAGCGTTCATTAAGGCGTTGCATTAGGTTCTGTAAATCATTGTTGTTATCCCTAATTATTACTGTATCGTCTGCAAAACGTAAGTTATTCAAAACTTCTCGATTGATAGATATACCTTCTATTGAGTCTGAGAGCGCTTCTTGAAATACCGCTTCACTGTAGACATTGAAAAGTAGTGGGGACAGCACGCAACCCTGGCGAACTCCTCTCTGTATTTTGATATTTTCGGTATACTGGCTGTCAACTCTTACCTTGGCAGTTTGATTCCAATATAAATTAGATATAATTTTCAGATGACGACTGTCAATATTTTTGCTTTTTAATATATCTACAAGCTTTTTATGTTGAACTTTATCAAATGCCTTTTCAAAGTCTACAAAACATAAGTACATATCCTGATTCATGTCCATGCATCTCTGAGCCAGCACATTCAAGCCGAACAAAGCATCTCTTGTACTCATACCATTTCTAAAGCCAAATTGTGTGTCACTAATCTCATATTCAAGAGTTTTAACAATTCTGCTGTGAATTATTTTCAAAAATGTTTTAAGTGTGTGACTGATTAAAGCTATTGTTCTGTGGTCTGAGCAAGTTGTTGAACTTGGTTTTTTGGGAATTGCTACAAAGGTTGATTGCAGCCATTGTCTGGGGATTGTGGCAGTCTGATATATTAGATTAAAGAGTTCAACCATTACATCAATAACATCTTCATCGATGAGTTTTAATAATTCGATGGGCACCAGTAGCTTTACCATCTTTTGTGTTTTTGATGGCATAGATGACTTCTTCTCTTAATATTGGTGGTCCAGTATCCTCGGTGATTTCTAATGACAGTTCTTCTCTTTCATCATTAAATAGTTGTTGAATGTAATTGGTCCAGTGACATAATCTCTCCTTCATATCAGTAATAATATCCCCTTACATCATTTTTAAGGATATTCGTTTTTGTACCCTTTTTAGAACCTGTCATTTCTTTGATTTTTTTGTGTAAATTAAAGCTATCGTAGTTTTTATCCAGATCTTCTATTTCCTTGCATCTATCGGAGAGCCACCTCTCTTTTGCCTCTCGAATTTTCTTTCTGATGTTTCTCTGAATTTCTTTGTATTTATTCAGGTCTTTTGCTTTAGGTTTTCTTCGTTCTTCCATGAGTTCAAGAATTTCTACTGTCATCCAAGGTTTTGTTTTTTTCTTTAAGTGGTCTGAGGGTTTTCTTTTCCAACTGACACAAGGGCATGTTGAATTTTTCATGTTGAAGATTAACACATATCTTCAATACAACAGCCAATAAATACAATATGACAATATCAGGAGAAAAAACCAAATATATGACAACATCTAAATACCCACTAGGTTGTAAAATCGAAATTGATGGGAAGATAATAATGCAGAGGAAGCAAGGTTTAGATATCTGGGAATAGATATAACTAGTTACCGAGATATTGAAGAAGTACGACAACAAAGCTTAAAAGCAAGTAAAGCGGCGGGATCTCTTAATGCCACAACCTGGAAAAACAAACACTTAAGACAAGGCACCAAGGCAAGGCACAGCAATTAGACCTATATTAACATACACCACGGAGACAAGACCTGACACATCTAAAACTAGAAGACTACTAGAAACAACTGAGATGAAAATACTCCTACGAATATCAGGGAAAAATCTGTTGGATAGAGAGAACACCAAAAACATAAGAAGAGTATGCAACATAGAAGACATAAATGTATGGGTGACAAAACGGAAACGGGAGTGGAAACGAACCCATTAGTAGAATGGCAGAGGATAGGACAGTACGAATAGCAGGAAATAAGTCACCAAATGAACGAAGAAGTATTGGCAGACCAAGAAAAAGATGGTGCGATAACTTAAACAATTTAAGAGGCTAATATTGAAGGCTTACATCATTCTATTGAAGAAGAAACAGGCTTACAGCCTGTTAGAGCATAGATAGCTACATACAAGAAGGAAGAAGAAGAAGAAGAGAAAGAGAAGGCTTTTGATTCTATAGAGTTTGAAACAGTTTTGGAAGTACTAAAAAATCAAATACCGAATTAATTGATGTTATGAAAATAAATAAAATGTGAAGAATTTATTATGACAAATTATCTCCAATCTTCTTTAAGTTGCATCTAGAATTTAGTGCTTTTTGTAGAGAAGGTTAATGGCATTCCGTATTAATAAAAGTTTACATTGTTCGTTGTTACATAAATAATTATATTATTATTATTACTTACCTCATAGAGTCGTCCTTATAATTTCTAACAGCGATATGATGTAAAGAAACATAGGATTGTGTTGATTGGGAGGAATGAGAGCCTGAGTGCACTTGCGACGGCAATGATGACGCTGCCCCCATTGCCAACCGCACGTGAGATGGATCGTCGTCTAAGCCTTCGTACGTCGGAGGAGGCGTACTGCAACAGCTCGGAGCGATACCTTTAAAAATAAAATAAGATTCACAGCTATATTCAAAACTGATTTTAAAGTAACAAAACCAAGCATCGAATGTCAAATGAATCCATTATTTATATGCTCAGGTGATACACACTGCTAAATCGTACAATATAGTATTTATGATTTGCTGTTAATTACTCAAATGTCATTCTACATGACTCTTTACTCAATTATCCATGACTCTCCGTAAAATTTATTAGATAGTTCAATAATAAATTAAATAAAAAGAATTGTGAATATGGAAAACCTTCAGTCACTTAAGGCTGTTTTATCGGTGCACCAAAACCTAGGGACAGTGTTTTCTCTGTTATTTACCGACAAATTGTCTCGAAATTTGGACAAGTTACTCGAAATTATCTTGCCTTTAAACTGATGGTTTTACTTTTTTTAATTTTTGTGAAACTTCTATTGAAAAATTGGATTATACTGTTTAACGTTCTATTATAACCCAACTTTTTACGACCATAACTTGAAAGAGTTTTTTTTTCTGTAATCGTTGATTTTTTTTTTCACCTTTCTGTGTTCAGTAATAATCGAGAAAAGCGAGTTCCAACTTTGAAGAAAATTGCTAAAAAATACTAAACTCTAATAGTGAAACGTGTTACTCATCATTGGCGATTAGTTTCACCGTTATCGCCTTCGTGACGTCAAATCTCATGAACGTACGGTCAATTAGTTCGTGTTAAAACTAATTTGAATGGATAATAATGCATTTGTTTTCATTAAACTACCCGTCGGCCGGCGCCACTGAGTAAAGATGATCTGGCGTAAGCAATGTAGAAAAGTAAGTGATACGCCCATTTCAAATAGCAGTGTGCTTTAACTGCTAAAACAGCCTTAAACGTCATATTTAGAGTCCGGATGATAAAAAATATATATTACTATAAAATGTAATAAAACACTGATTAACAGCAGATAATTTAGAAGTTTGGATCAACCTGAGTTTTCATACGTGGTATTCACTGCATACTTCAAATCTATACACAATATATTGTATAAAACCTTAGTTAATAAAACCAGAATTGTTCGTGTTTGTTAGAGTATAAACATAGGGCTTCAACAAAAAACGAAAATGCAACTATTTTGAGTTCGGAAAAGACAAATGTACTATACTTAACAATGACACCATCAAACAAGGTGTTAGGTTTTAGTTGAGTTCTTCGAAATGAAAAAGCAACGGCACAACTTCACACATCAAGCCAAAATGAAGAATATCTTAAAACATACAAATAAAATTACGAAATCGTACAGTGCCTTCCTCTCTGCCGTGCCGTGCTTGAACCTAGTAAATAAAAGAAAAGAAAATAAATAACAAAATAGCACATGCAGCTAAAATAATAGAGAAAACTGTAAGGTATATAGGAAAATTATTGTTTTTATTGATCTTCTTAACGTCGTATCATAATAACATAAAATACTTGGTGACAGTTTCTTTATTTACGATTTTAAAATTATTAACGTTGGAAATAGGTTTCGAAGCCATGATATATTGTTTATTAAAAAAAATTAAATATAAATATTCATTCATATCAAGAGTGTGCCATTGTTGAACCAATATATATCCATGATGTGGTTTCGAAGATCCTGACAAACGAAGTCGAGTAGGTCTCTTATATTTGTGTACAGTTAAATAAACTCTCCACGGCATCTACAGCATCCACAGCAAAGATCCACAGCAAGGATCAGAGTCTCTCCTCCTTTTCGCTGATGATACGGCCATTCTCACTTCAGGCTCCCACAGAGAGTGCGAACGGCGGTCTGTATTCGTTCCGTTTTCTCTAGCAAAACTTCTGCACAACACTGGACATGAACTTCCTGATGAGTGAAATTCTGATGATTTTGAAATTCTAGAAACATTTCAGATCCAATATCGCAGATAAAGACGGCGCGCCAAAAAAACTGAGCCTCAACTGGCATGCTAGGCATATCCCCCTTCTTCTTGTGCGTTCTTATCGATCACACATACAAGCCATCTTCTTTTTCCCCCTGCTGCTCCTTAGTAGTCCTCTACTTCTTAACATCGTGCATAATTTAATTGACGTTTTTCACGCCCCCACAACTCCGTTAAAAAAAAGGAGTTACCCATTCCTTGAAGAGGCTCAGGCCTAAACAAGGTTACGTCATGTGTCATTGTGTCATGTGAAATAAACTCCTGGACAACATTAACGGACCACTTTAATTAATCTAAATATTTACAATATGAACACAAAATAAAACTAAGTTACATTGAAATAATATTAAACACCTACAAGTAAGTCCAACATGACTTTATCAAGACCTTAATCTGCCTTATTGTTTCTTTAAAACTCTGTTTTTGCCGGAAATGCGTAAATAAGCTAGCACAACTCCAAATTGCAAAAGAAAAAAATCAGTAAAGTAACACAATAAAATGCATCTGGGTTAACACTAATACCGTGTAGGCCCTCCTCAACTTCTTATGACTGTATTTATGCGTCGAGACTTGCTTGATATCAAATGTTCAACAAAAGCTTGCGAAATATTCTTCCATTTTTCAATAACGTCCTTATTGGTTGTGATTGGCAATAGGGGATCTACGAGGATCTACGGATACTAAGATGTTCTATAGGATTCATATCCGGACTGTTAGGTGGCCACTCTAATAAGGAAATACCGAATGAGCACGAGCGTTGTCTTGCATGAGAAATTAGGTCCAAGAAACTGAGCAAAAGGCATTACATCGAACGTATGGGGACATATTCGCCCCCCCCCCTGCAAACATTTTTGAAATGTGGATAATTTCCGAAGTGGAAATTGAAACGTCAATAAACGTACTTTAACCTTTAATTGTGGCTTATTCCCGTTTAAATAGTAATTACTTTAAAATGACACAAGAAAGTAGCTTCAGAACAATATTAAGAAACCGTTATGGGCCCAGCGTTTTTCAAAATTTTCAGAGATTGGAAATTCTATACAATAAACTGGCACATTGTCAAAATTCAATTAAATTTTTACGAAGATGTAGAGCCAACAACCTAATACCAAAGGGCTTGAAGTTACGTCCAGCATATTCAAGCAGAAGGTTGGAAAACATTCTACATAGAGCCAGTTTGTCCATGATCGGCGAAAATTTTTTATTGAACAAGATATTGTAAGTATTGAAGATTTGCTTTTCAATGTGATATCAAATTCTGATTTTGATCAAATTATTTTTAGTTAACATTTTAGAGCCACCACCAAAAGATACTTTAGGAGAGATATTGTAGCTGGCAAACCTTTCTCTTCGCCTTTGCCAGACACGCTCACGACCATGGACATAGTGTGCTTTACCTCCGGGGTACAAATAAAGAAAGTCCCTTAGGCTCTTATGGACTCAGTTTGTAAATCCTGACTTGATAGCTAGAGATTTTATCTGTTGTCACCACTTAATCTATGAAGATCTCCAAAGATATTATACCTATCGTGAATTGATGTTACTTGCTCAAACCTACCGTTCATGTGGAAGCAATTAATTTGGCTCTATATAGTTTTTATAATTAACATTATATTGGAACAAATAATATATTTAGAGGAGCATACACACAAGAATAGACAGAAACATTAGTTAACATAATACAAAACATAATTATTCATGCACTGCTGAAAATTATCTAATTATTATCAAAATAAATTTAAAACTACTTGTTTATTACATTCCAATAAATATATGCAGGAAATATAAACAATCATACAAATATACATTTATTATTACATATATATTGTTTGTGTATACTATAACGCTCCATTTCTATCGATATACAGTGTGGTCACTCAAGAGAGTAAAAAAAATAGCTGTTTTAGCATAATCATAAAATCCAATGAAAACAGTAGATTCGCCATTATCCGAGCTAAATGGGACCGCGCATACCTCGGATACCGAAAAACTCGGATAACGCAGAGATCGGTGAAAATGAATGATATCGGTAGGGGTTGATACTACCTATTACTCAATGTAGGCGAGTTCAGCTCCAATCGTCTTCAATCCTTTGGAGTGAGATATTTTCTCGATAATCTCATCTGTGTCATCCTCAACGACATTATGTGGGTTGATAACCATGTCGGCAATTGCATCATCAGTCAGTACCATTTGCTGATCTTGCATAGTCCACTCATTGACATCTTCATCATTTATCGGCAGTTTCGTTGGTAGTTGATTAGCGAGGTCTACTATTTCAGCAATACAGTTATTGTTATCTTTTCCATCATTTTTCGCTTTAATTCGTCATAAATTTTGCAAAGTTGTTACCCTTACAGGTATCCCCACGCTGAAGCTATCCAGTAAGACACATCCTTAATAGTGATTTTCTCAGGAGCTACTGTCACAGCCATTTTTTTATCCAACCAGGTCAACACCACTTGGAAAAGTCTTTGACGATAGTTCCATTTCATAGCCTCTAAAACTCCTTGGTCCAGAGGATAAATGAGAGATGTGACGTTTGGTGGCAAAAAACAGCTTTAATGTCACCACTAGCCAACGAACTTGCATCTGGGTGAGATAGCGCGTTGTCCAAAAGAAGCTTTTTTTAGTAGGTTTTCTTTTTTAAGTATGCCTTAACAACGCAAACGAATTCGTCAAAAATCCAATCTTTAAAAATTTGGCAATCCATCCACGCTTTACGTTGATTATTGTACATGGTGGGTAGGATATTTTCACAAGCCCTTGGATTCTTTAATTTTCCAATAAGTAGAGGTTTTAATTTTAAGGATCCAGAAGAGTTTCTACACATCAAAAGAGTTACTCGTTTTTTGCTTTTTTTGTAACCAGGTGTAGTTTTTTCACTTTGGGCTCCCAGTGTTTTGTTTGGAAGCATTCTGAAATTGAGATCAGTTTCATCACAATTAAAGATTTGGTCTGACGTGAGGCCATGCTTTAAAATAAAATTTTAAATTAAACGGTTCAATTTCAGATGAATCGGCCAAAGGTTTGTCACCCGAAATGTTCAGTTGTCGGATGCTATACCTCTTCTTCCATCTGTCGAGCCAAC